AATAGTCCAGCAAATAAGAAGAGAAATAATGTAAACTTTCGCTTTACTAAGTTTTTAGTATTCTAATGTCAATAAAAAAGGATCACTTCGAAATTATTCCTTAAATTGTACTTTTACAAATTATTATGAATAACCAATAAACTGATCAGTGTCACGAATATAGCCTCTAATTCTAATCGAGAGTAACTTTACGATTGTACATCTTAATGATTTCTCTCAGCAAAAGTGTTATAAATATAAAATTGTTAAATCTGCGGCTCACGAATTTCATCATCAAAAGAAACCAGGATTTGTTGCAAACGGCAGGCAAGTGGATTGTAAATGTTACGATTGATTGCGGAATAATATTCTTCTCTGTTTCTTTTTTTTTTTTTTTTTTTTTTTCAATTCACGAGAGAGAGATTTACGTAACAAGTTTATCGTGCGTGGAACGGGGAAATTATGTGAACTGTCGTGATAATCAAAGATGTTTGTTCAATGGAAATTAATCGTGTCGCGAAGAACATCGTTAAAGTAACCGAGTGTAAATATCCATTATACACACGTGCAGTAAGAAGGGAAGCTGAATTCTTCGCTGAAGTTCAAACAAATATTGGGAAGATTGGGTATTTTTAGGTGTTTGTTCACCTATGCAGAAACTCCAGAAACAGATGAAATTCGTAAACGAAACTTGGCGAAAGTTTCACGAAGCCGATTGTTTCTTATTCGTGATTCGTTAAGCGCAACGTGTCTTTTTCAATTAACGACCATTAATTAAGAAGGGTGCATGAGTCACCGGGTATATTGGCGCATAAGTTCCGAATATACAAAAATCAATGAAAAATATCGATCGAGGAACACGTCGCCAAGTGTATTCCCGTCGGTTTCAATCTTTTCTCAGGTGAAACGTTTCTCCAAGGTATCCAGGGAAATTGATAAACATCGTTGCACGGGAGAAACGATCCACCAAAAATTTATAAGTTTATAATTCTTAAAAAAAATCGAATAGACAGTTAGATTTAAATTCGCCGAATAATTTCCTGTTTTCATCACTTTTACTTTAAATAAATATATTGACAAAAGTTTCCTTTCCCGACTCACGGTATAGCGAACAAAATTTATAATTAAGTAATTCAATCCCTACTTCTGCTTATGAAACGTCGTGAAGAAGAAGAAGAAGAAAAAAAAAA